AAAAAGTCGAATTTTGTCTGAAGAACAAAAAAACCCACCCCGAGCACAAATATTCCGTTACTTTCGTTACAAAAGTCAGAACAATCACTTTGCGCTGACAAAATGCTCATCATAGAAAATCAGATTTCATAGAAACAATTGTTTGAACTTAGGTTAATAAGTATTTTGTTATACAATGATACTTTAGGATCAGTTCTTTTTTGGAATTAAACAACAAAATTTTGGCTATTCTTTTTACCACAAAAGTATATGAAACTAGCATAATTAGTTTTTTTTTACTATGAAATTTTATGATTAAGAATTATTCCACACTATGAAACTGTACCTTGAGCATTTTTGCTATAGTTTGACATGCAAAAAAACTTAGTTGTGTTTGGCGTTTTTACTTTTTTTGTTAAAAAAAAATCAAGTATTTGGTAACACACACAAAAAAACAGAGTTTAAATGACAGCTACCAAACAGACAATTTTTTTTTGGCGACGTGTGCTATTCGCCTACGTGTGCTATTTTTGCGTTACAAAAAACAGCAACAGATAATATGTCCACATACCCTGAGGCAGCATCAGTCGTAAACGAAAAATTTTACAGGGACGATTACTTGGATTCGTTCGAGAACGTCACCCATGTAATTAAAGTTAGTCGTGATTTGTTTTCGTTACTTAAGTTGAGAGGATTTATTTTCACTAAATTTGTCAGTAATGCTGATGAAATTACTTCAGCAGTGAACCCCGAGGATTGCGAAACTTCGTCTTCGCCCATCAAGTAAATGTGTAACGGCGCCGAACAATCATCGAACGTCTTAGGTCTTAAGTGGGACTATGTGAAAGACACATTGGTTGTTAGCAGAGGCGATGATCGTCCTCTCGACAAGGCAATAACTCAACGAACCATCTTGAGTTTCATCTCTTCTGTGTTTGACCCTGTTGGGTTAGTAGCTCCATGCACAGTTACGGCCCGTCTTTTGCTTAAAGATATTTGAAAAATCAGTGGCCAAAGTTGGGACGACAAATTGCCGGAAGACATAAGCGATAAATTTCTCGAGTGGCACTCCGGTCTCCCTCTCTTAGGGCAATTGACTATTCCCCGTTATTACTTCACAGAGCCTGTGGATCAAATTGAGCTCCTTATGTTCGGTTACAGCTCGCAGGACGTTTTCTGTGCGATTCAATTTTTGCGTCCGCGACTCTTGAGTTCGCACAAAACACAAATATCCTTCATTTTGGTAAACCTCGCGTTGCCCTTTGAAAGCACTATCGATACCGAAGCTAGAGCTTCAAACTGCTCTGCTCGCCACACGACTGAAAGAAGATATACTGATCGCCCTTACTATCAGCATTAATCATGTCTACATTAACATTTGCTATTACGACATAGAATTAAAATTCATCGCTATTTCACTGCTAAATCATCAGTGAAGTTTTCAGTTATTTCAGTTTTGAATCAGTAACAACACTGCTCGTATCAGGGCGAAGTCTGGAATGATCCGACTGCCTTTTAAGATTTATGGAGCAGTAAAAACATCAAAAATTTAAATGTAATAAAATAAAACTAAGATTTAAAAAAAATGAGGTTTTTAGTAAAAACATCACCCCATACGTCATAATAAGTAGAAATTGGTAAATTTTGCTCCTATTAACGTATCAATTGTGGTATATAAATTTCTTGAACAAATTTGGAACGATTTCTAAGACGGATTAAATCTCAGCTTACGCGTTAATACTGCGAAATATATCGCGCGTTAATTGTCACAAATTGGCCAAAATGGCAATCTTTAAACCTCCATAATTTTACGAAAAATAATCACAGGTGAAATATCTTTTCAAATTTAGGCTCAGGACAAAATACGTTTTGAATGATATGAAAAATTACCGTCAAAATTGGCTAGGTAAAAAGTCGAAATTTGTCTAAAGAACAAAAAAACCCACCCAGAGCACAAATATTCCGTTACTTTTGTTACAAAAGTCAGAACATTCACTTCGCGCAGACAAAATGCTCATCATAGAAAATCAGATTTCATAGAAACAATTGTTTGAACTTAGGCTAATAAGTTAGTTTGTTATACAATGATACTTTAGGATCAGTTCTTTTTTGGAATTAAACAACAAAATTTTGGCTATTCTTTTTACCACAAAAGTATATGAAACTAGCATAATTAGTTTTTTTATAAAATGAAATTTTATGTCTAAGAATTATTCCACACTATGAAGCTGTACCTTCAGCATTTTTGCTATAGTTTGAAATGCAAAAAAACTTAGTTGTTTTTGGCGCTTTTGCTTTTTTTTGTTAAAATAAATCAAGTATTTGGTAACACACAAAAAAAACAGAGTTTAAATGACAGCTACCAAACAGACAATTTTTTTTGGCGACTTGCCTTGTATTGTGTTGTATTATTTTGATTTTTAACACTTTTTGCTTGCACAACATGCCACAAGCTTTCCTTCGCTTTTACCTGGGGAGCACTTCGACCACAAGAAAAGGTACGTGCAAGCGCAGTCATATGCTAACGCGATTTGGTCTCGTTGGCTTCGAGAATATGTCCTCTCGCTGAATAAGCGTGTCAAGTGGCACACTCATTCTGACGCCACTCTTAAGACAGGCGATCTCGTGTGAGTGATTGAGCCCGAAAGTCCGCGTGGGTACTACCCCCTCGACCGAATCGTCAAGCTAAACTACGGACAGGACTGTTGCGCCCGATCCGCCATTGTTAAGACCTCAACCCGTGAAGTCACTCGGCCGACCGTTAAGTTCGCTCCGGTTCTTCCTTCCTCAGGGGGAGGATGTTGCAACGCAAATATAAAACAGAGTATAAATGCTTATAAAACAAGGCTGCCTAGCTCAGTCGGTTAGAGCAGCGTGCTAATAACGCGACGGTCGACAGTTCGAGCCTGTCTGTTGCCAATGCTTCCCGCGACAGAAAAGAATGATCAAATTTTATACGAAACGACCTAATAATACTTGACCTGGCGTAGGTTCGAGTCCCCTGACCATGTATCCTATTTTAACTGTTTTTCGCTCTAATTTGGTTCAGCCTTGATTAAGGCTGACCATCAAAAAGAGCAATTTGTCTCAAGGACATTACCGACTGGTTTTTGTGGCTAGCTTGCGCCAATTTGTTTATTGAAGCTGAATTTTGTTGTTATATGAGCTTATGTTTTTGGATGAAATTATAAAAATTGCCGATAAAATTATATAGCCGAAAATCCGAATTTCTTCTTGATTCTTTTCGACTTAAATTCATCTTACGGAGATTGAGCGCACACTATTTTTGTGGAAAAGTTGGTATTTTGGGAAAAACGAGCCGCTTTTTATTTTTCAGCAAAATTTTCTGGGAAATGACTTTTGGATTTCATCATTCAAAACCTAAACCTGGCTGGAGTTAAGGATATAATAAATCAATTGTGAGCACAGAATTGATTTAACTATCAATAAAGGGGTGGAAACTTTCTAAAGAAATTTGTAGGTTTTTATTGGAAAATGCAAATCACACAATTTTCACATATGAATAGTATATGACAAGTATTTTTCATTAAAAAAAAAGAGCGATTCTATACAATAATAATAAAGTATATTAAAAAAACTTCAATAAAATTTTGTTTGAATTTTATACCCGTCTAAGATATATTACGAAAGTTATATTTTCGATGAAATAACACATCTTCTTTTCATGATGATGAAATGATACACATTTTGCCATAGTCTTCATATATGGAAGTGTTTGATATTCATTTTTCATGTGCGGACTCAAACTTGGTTTTCCGAGCTCACATAACGTAGATCGAACAAAAAAATAGCTTGAACACTGTCTAAACAGATCAAAAAAAGACACAGACAAATAGCTTTTTATTGTTTCAAAGTAAACAAATTTGATAACCATGCAAGTTATTCTTATCAGTCACAATTTACAGCTTGAATGATAAATCTTTGATGCTCACAATTTTTGTAGATAGAATCGAAGTCTTTTCTGAAGCGAAATCTGGCAGAGCAACTCAAAATAAGACTGGCGGTGCGACTCGCGGAAAAATTTTGGCGTTACGACCTAAGAAAAGACTGGCGGAGCAACTTGAGAAAAACGTTGGTTGCACGATTTATAAAAGACGGGCTGCGCGACCTAAGAAGGGACTTGCGGCGCGACCTAAAAAAGTAGTTTGGTGGCACGACTTATAAAAGACGGGCTGCGCGACCTAAGAAGGGACTTGCGGCGCGACCTAAAAAAGTAGTTTGGTGGCACGACTTATAAAAGAGTGCCGGCGCGAAAAAATAAAGTAGATTGTTTTAAAAATGCTTTGAGCTGCGGCTCGTCCAAAAAAATGCATCAAGTCACAAGAAAGCTTTTGTCGGAACGAGTCAAGGTAAGGCCAGCGGCGCAACTCACGAAAAGACGGGCGACGCAATTTAAGAAAAAACGTTGGCGGCGCCGCGACTTAATAAAAAACTTCAGTGGCGCGGCCTAAACAAATGGGCGGAGCTACTCAAAAAAAAATGCTTGGGTGTTTTGCATTGCCACAGTTGCGCTGTTCTGGATTTTAAATTTTTCAATCGCGCTGGTCGCGCAATTTTTTGAAATTGATTTTTGGGTTGCGCCGGTTGCGGTGGATATTTTTATTTGCTGGTTTTGAATTACCAATTTTCGGTCTGGATCGTCTGGAATTCACACTATAAAGTTGCGCCGGTCTGAAAAAGCCAATATAGGTAGCGCCGTTATTTTCTTAAGTCGCAAGCCTCGGCCTGGGCATACCACACCAAAAGAGATAAACTTGAGGAAACTTTCGAAAATTCCTTTAACACCCGCACCTCCCCATTTGTCTTCAGTAAAGACACTCATGTCGCAGTTAATTCTTTAATTCTTTAATTCTTTATTTCTTTAATTTCTTTAATTCTTTCAATTTCTGTCTCACAGAAAAATAATCGCATTAAAAATTTATAACAATGTAATCAACTTTGATTTAAAACTCACACGTCAAAATGCTTTCATTTTATTATTGTGATAAATTTTTTAGCAACCTTTTCACTGCCAAAATAAAGTCCAGTGCGTTTCTTTTGCATACAAGACTTAATCAGCATCGGTGAAAAACGCAGCTGTGTTTTTAGTTCGTTTTAATCGCAATAGTAATCAATCGAATTGTTAATCTTTAGTTTTGGAGTGTTCATAAGTCGTTATCGTAATAAATTACCGTGGCACGTCAAAAATGAGCATCATAGGCATGGAATTTCAGTTTCGCTAGTTTGGATGTAAGAAACCAAAATTAAAGAAAACTTGTTTTGCGAATAGTTTTTTTTCCGAATCATAGAACACAAAATCTCAATTTGAGGAATACATATTTTAAACAAAAAGAGTTTTCACGGTAATTTTGCAAAAACTGGCTTTCGAATTTTTCTTCAACCATTGTTTTATTATTTTTTGATCAAAAAAGTTAAGTTTAGCCTACACAAAAACGCCAAAACACAATTTGCATTGCAATTTAGGGGAAAAAACGAAAGAACAAAACTTGGATCATGCAAATTGCTGTTATCACAAAAAACTGAAAAATTTTAGAATGAGAAAAACACTGACTTTTTTGAATATTCAAACATTGCTAGAAAAGCATTTTTTTGTTTTTTTTTGGGCATCATCTCTTTGTCTTTGATTTACCAAATCATTGTCAAGATCTATTTTTTGCAAATAAGATCATTGATTTTCCCTGGCGAAATTTAAATCCCTCTGGGCGTATTGTTGTGATAGGACGTCGTCCTCGGAGTAGTAAATTGGACCGACTGCCTCCCCCTCGGCCGATGAGTGCGGTGAGCGACAGACACATGCGATGCATTCCCAAGGAACAAGCTCAGCAAATCACAGAATCACCTGCAGCTGCTGCCCTTGGTAAGTGCACAGTATATATATTGATTTTGACTGCTGAAGTCGGACCTGGAAAGTAATCGTAAAGTCAGTAATATGCAAAAATCTTACAGCAAAAACAAAACTGAGAGAGCTTTTTCTTGAATACAAAAAGTTAAGTGAGGCTTTTGAGGTTGATTTTTTGTACGTTTTTCAAAAAGCACGATTTTCAAATCAAAATGTTTTGAATAAAATACTATCCTTTTTTTAGACAAAATGATTGGTGTTATACAGATTTCATAATAATTTTGTACACCAAAAAAAATATTTTTTTTTCTGATCAATTGTGTTAGATGGTTTTTAAAAGCTGTTAGAAGACCTACCAAATTTTTGATTTTCATGCGCCACTTTTGCGTTTCCAATGTTTATCTCATGTTTGGGGAAACATATTTCGGCAGTCTCCCATTTAAGACTTTGCTTAGTACCTGCTAGTAGCTAGCAGATATAAGACACAAAAGTATTCAAAATAGCAAAAATTGTCAGAATCATTGACTTTTCGCATCTGAAATAACCAAGAAAAACTAAATTTCAAATCTGTAATTAGATCTGAAATAGATTTTTTAGATCTAAAAAGCCAAGAAAAAATAAATTTCAGATGTGAAATTAGATCTGAAATAACCCTTTCTTAGAGTATCTAAGCGCTATTTTAACATTTCACAACCTATTTCAGATCTGAAATTTAAATCTGAAATAGATTATTTCAGATCTGAACTAGAATATTTACTAGGTACGGGCTCAGAGTTGATTTCTAGACAATTTCGTTAGTTATTGTGAGCTGCATGAAATATAAATTTCTATCATTATCAGTTTCAGCGTCCGTTTGAGTTACGTAAAATCAATTTTTTAGAAAAAATTGGATTTAGAAATTGAAAAATTGCTAACAATTGATTGCAAATTTAATTTTGCTGATGCGATATTAAATGAGATATCAATCAAAATAAAACTCAGCCTATTCCAAGAACGTGACTTTTTAAAAAACGTTCCGATTTGAAATCCCTTTTTTGAAATCCATGGCCTGATGTCCGAAACCCGATGCCCAGATTTCTCATGAAGAAAAAACAAAAAATCAGCAAAACATTTTTGCACGAAAGGTTTCATACACGGATAATTGCGTTGTTGCTACAAAGTCCTGCAACCCCTCACTAAAGTTTTATGGAAAAAATTCGATTTGAATGGAAAAAATTATGGAAAAAATTATGGAAAAAATTCTATCAAAAAAATTAACCCTTACAATCGAGGTTTCATGATCAATCTAACTACAAAAATGGATTTTTAGTGTATTCAAACCGATCATTTTCAATATCAAAAATCTATGGTAATCTTTTTTAGATTTTGAAAAAACCGATTGTTTTTACTCCTAACATCGATGAAAATTGATTATTTTTGTAGATATGAAATAGTGGTTACATGACAAAAGATCCCTTACCTTAAGATCCCAAACGAGAAGATCCCAGTCAATAAGATACCATTCCAAAAGATACCTCGTTCTAAAATCGCCCACGACATAAGATACCATAATAAAATAACAAAGAACCTGAGAATTGAAAATAAAGCGGTTAATCGATCAAAGCAAAAACAAAGCGTCGGTTAAAATCAAAGAAACGGCAAAATTTTTGCTGCACAAATTTCGAACATAAATGACCTTGCTAATCACTTGGCCTTTAAAATGAAACTCAAACTTCAAAACAGCTTAGACTATAATTGAACTTGAAAAGGATTTCCAATTAATCAAAACCAACTTTGCTAAATATGGCCTGATTTTCCAGACAATTCAAGTCGGTACAAAATTGAAATTGAGTTTTTTCAAAATTCTAAAGCTTTCAAATCATTTTCATTACGAATCACTTGCCATTCTATTTGATAAAAAATATCAATTCTCAATTTTGATCAACTTTTTTTCGCTAGGCGCAATACTCAAAGGGCCGTCAGGCCCCTACCCCCAACCTAGCCTCCCGTAAATAAGAGCAATTGCTCTGGGATCAAATTGCTAGAGACAGCATTTTCGAATGCGAGTCGTAGTATTGCGTTTCGGCGTTCTCCGGGAGGGTGCAAGGAGACGTCTATAAAAAAGTTGATCAAACAATTTTAAATTTAGGAACAATTAGGCAAAAACTATAACAAAATTTAATAGGTTAAATGAGCAAGTGAACGGATATAAGACAATAAGTTAGAGTCTGTGTATGAACTTGTTATCTGTTGAACTTTTTCATTCAGATCACGGTACTTCTTCCGGGATAAGTTGATAGTGCCGCTGGATGCCTTCAAAATGTTGAACTTTTGATTGTAGGAATCCAGTTGAATTTTTTCGAGAAACGTATGTATTGAAGGATGGCTGCCTTGAAACAAAGCGGTTACACCTAGATGCCACCCTTCAACTCTACTGTTTGCAGCGTTTTTGCAAAACCAGAACTTGTTCTTCGCCGAAAACGTACAAACGCGTTTATCACCGTGTATACCCTCCACCCCCACCCCTTTCCCCAAAAATTGTCATATAGTTCCACATCCGCCCGTACGTGCATCCACTCACGTTATCATTTTCCTTAGCCCCCAACCCCCTATTCAAATCTCCCAACCCCCCTGGCCCAAAATCCTTTGTTCAAGCCACCTCTCCCACCAACCCTCTGTTCGGAGTGAGGGGGTGTTGTTTTTTGATGTGGTACACACATAAAAAATGCACAGGGGTTACACGCATAATGATCCAAAAAAAGGAATAAACTTCTTACCACACAGGGAATAAGTGAGATGGAGAGGGTGGAATATGGCCGGCGGGAGGGGCAGGGGGTCAACGGGTAAACGTGGGGGCAAAAATGTTCAAAGACCAGCAAAGTTTATTCATTCATTTGGTTCAAAACTTTTTGATTTTTGTAATAAACTAATGAAAAATTAATCATCCAGAAATAATAACAAGACTGCTCGTATCAGGGCGAAGCCCTGAATGTTCCGACTGCCTTTTAAGTTTTATGGAGCAGCAGTAATAACATAAAAAAATTTAATGAAATAAAACAAAAATGAAAAAAAAAAAATTTCCAAAATTTGAAAATTTTTATGAAAATCATCCCCCCACACGCCATATAAAGAACAAAAAGAGAGATTTCGTTCCTTGTAACACATCAATTATGGCAAATAAGCTTCGTTCAACCAATTTGGAACGATTTATAAGACGGATTAAATCTCCGCTTACGCGTTAATAGCGCGAATTATATCGCGCGTTAATTGTCCCAAATTGGTCAAAATGGCCAAAATGGCAATCTTTAAACCCTCATAACTTTACGAAAAATAATCACAGGTGGAATATTATTTCAAATTTGAGCTCAGGACAACAATAGCTTTCGAATGATATAAAAAAATTCCGTCAAAAATGGCTAGTTAAAAAGTCGAAATTTGTCTGAAGAAAAAAAAAACCCACCCCGAGCACAAATATTCCGTCACTTTCGTATCGAAAGTCGGAACAAAAATGTTGTTGTTTCATCAATTAAGTTTGAAATTTATTTCAACCAAAAAAAATCAAAATTTGCAAAAAAAAAATAATCAATCATAATCGATTATAATTGATTAAAAAGGTGTTGTTGTCCCAAAAATTATTATCGTTGTAATGTAATCGTCTTGAATGGATTATAATCTGTTTTTTTTTTGGTAATTTGATACATACTGGCAACGGAAATGCGATATAATTGATTATTATAATGAAAGTTCAGTGTGGGATAGGTTACTCTGTTGTATTTTACGGTTTGATCTTGGTTTGTATCGGCAGTCGAAAGTAACGTTGGAGAAGTAGGCAACTTCCAGATATAATTTGAGCTCATTTTGTGCATTTTTGCATTAGTTAAAGCAAAAATCATTCTTTTTTATAGCTTCATTTCATTTAGATGTGTTCATTTGTTTGAACAACTAGATGGTCAGTTGTGTGCACTCAAATTGCGATGTTTCAAGCAGAGACGTTTTTCATCGACACTTTTTAATTAAGTTTACAAAATTAAAGATTTTTAAATGAAAGACAGTGGCGCGTGTAGGTGTGGGGGATGCTTGAACACCCCTCCCCTTTCAGGGCTTAGACCTTGCGCTAGGTGAAAAAAAAAAACAATTTTTGAAACTTTGGTCAAAATAGTGTGTCTTTAACATGATTTAGGATAGCTCTGAAAATCAATTTGCCCGGCCTAAAAAATGACGACAAAAATTTCAAAAAATATTAGAGAAAATCTGAACTTATTAGAGAACTAATTAGAGCAGTTTGCAGCTGTTTTTGCAAGTGTTCCTGAAACAGCATAATTTCAAAATAGGATCCTAGATGTTTCGAGAAAGCCCAAAAAGTATTTGGCCGATCTAACAAAAAGGTTAGCAGAATGTTCGTTTTCATTCGTAAAACAGCCTTTTTTTGATAAAATTCTAGATTAGTCCCTGATCCAGACATATGTTTGCGTTCCAAGATTGGCGGATCTAGGATTTTTTCGAAAAGGGGGAGGGCGGATTTAAAAAAAAAATTGAAAATTTTTTCGACCTTTTTTTAGGCTCACCAAATTGATTTTCCAAGTGCTTCCAGAAGGAATACTACAAAGACCATATTAAAAAAAAGTCAAAAATGCCGTTTTGGGCTTTTTTTGGAAAATTTTGATTAAAAAAATCGCGTTTTTTGGAGCGCGCTACTCTTCAAAATTAGTAAATATTGGCACCCAAGGCGCCTCTAGAAAATTTTCAGTCTTAGTAGATGAACGTCGAATCTCTGAGGAGAGAAGTGTCGAATCGATGAGCGTCGAAATATTTAGCAGCTTTTTTAACGGCAATCGAACACTTTCATTTTTGCTAAACGTCACAAAATTTGTGATACACAGACTAATGACCAGTTCGTAATTGATATCATGCTGCTATGTTTAATAAAAAAAACATGTTAAGTGCTTATGATCACAATTTGTCGTGTTGTGCCCCAAACGAGGCCGAGCTCTGACTGCCGTCGTCTGCGTTTTTATTACCACCCCTGATAGCTCTAAAATGCACTCTGGGCTTGAAATCCACCTCGTCAACTGAATTTGATTTTCCAGGGACTATTTTTGCGGAGTCCCGGACCGGGATTGACGAGCGTGTGGACGACGACATCTGGAAGGGCAGCGTGGAAAGGGAGAAATGGTGCGAAAGCAAATGGTAAGTCATCCCGTGACATACGAGTTTCAAAAAATTACTACATGTTTTTGTGTTAGTTAGGTTACACGGCATAATATAAGATTTGGCAAAACCTGATTATTTTTTAAATCGGCCAATAATTCAGGCTTTTATCAAATCTAGGTATCCGATAACTGTAGAATGGCCCGAATTAGCAGAATTTTTTGTGATGCTCAAAAAGAGCAGGGAAAAGCTATCGAAAGTGCGGCGATGGGAGGGAGCATGCTGGCTTTTTAGTCTGCTGCTGGTGCTAATTGTTGTCCCGACCATTTGAAAAATGGGGAGGAACGTTGTATTGGGGTGTGATATATATTTTTTTTCTTTCTTTTTTTTCCACGCAAAATCAGGTACCACAAATTTTGATCGTACTAAAGCTCTTTCATTCGTTACTCGAACGATACTGAATAAATTCCAAAAAAAATCCCAGTGTCGAGAAAAACCGATTTGAAAATTCGGATTTTTGGTCTTAATTCGAGCGAAAAAAGCAAGCCAATTATGCCTAACTGAAGACTTTAAAACTTAATTCTATGTATATAAAACTGATTTTCGGAGTTTTTTTTAGCTTCATTTTCGGAACCAAAAATTTCAAAAATTTCAAACTTTAAAAAAAAAATTCTAGTCATTTTTTTCAAAAAATTTTGTCCAATTTGCTTATTACTACGACTGTCTGAAATAATTATTTTTTTCTACGCCGAACCTTTTTATTACACCAAGCAGAAAAAAAACTACACTTACTTGGAAAAAAAAACTTTCTAAACCGTAGTTTTCTAAAGACCATGGTCGGAAAATTCTGTGTTACTTGGTCCCATGGTCTGTTCTGTGCCTCTTACTTCGAGCGATTAAAGCGAGCGAGCAGTCTTATTTTAACTGCTTAAAAGCTTACATAGCTTAATTTAAAACCTTAAAACTTTGCTTACTTGAGTAACGTTAGTTTGTTTTCTTTGAGTATTTTAGCGCCGTTTTGGCATCAAAACTTTCAAAGTTTCAAAAAACTGCAAAATTGAAAATATATAATTATTTCTTTTTTCAATAAACTTTTCTGAAAAAAATTATTTTTTCAATTTGGTTATTTAAATGTGACCGTCAAATATATCTAATTTCCAGTTTTTGTTCAGCTCCTTTTATTACACCTGCTAAAAAAACAAATATAATAATGAGAAAAACTTTGTTGCATTTTCTAACACTATGGTCGGAATATTCTGTGCCACTTGCACAATGACCGGCTATCCTTGTTTGAATTTGTTTATTAAGTGGAAAAAAAATTCTGTTTTCTCAATACTTTTCATCTTTTTTTATCTAATTTCCAGTTTTTGTTCAGCTCCTTTTATTACACCTGCTAAAAAAAACAAATATAATAATGAGAAAAACTTTGTTGCATTTCTTAACACTATAGTCGGAACATTCTGTGCCACTAGCACAGTGACCGGCTATCCTTGTTTGAATTTGTTTATTAAGTGGAAAAAAAATTCTGTTTTCTCACTACTTTTCATCTTTTTTTGTTTTTGAAACAATTTGTGATCGATTTCGAACAAAGATGGTTCACTTTTTCAAGTCTCTGATGAACTTCAAAATTTGAAGAAGACTGGTTTTGTTTCAAACAGTTTTTCCCGGAATATTATTTTAGCTTTTTTTCTGTACACGATGTCTGGTTCTGATGAACCCCTCATGCGCGAGGGACCAAATGTGCGAAATTTTTGCCTAAAAGAAGAATTCATTCTGAATAGTTTTGAACAAAAAAGGCAATAAAAATTGTCATGCTTGGGATAGTTAAAAAGTCAAATGTGCGAAACTTTTCGTGCTTCGCTCCTTCGCGCATTAAAATAGCCCTCGTCTGGTCTTTTCAAATTTTATATCCCAAGGCTTCGAACATCTCTGTAAACAGCACAGACACAGATCCACGCACAAATTGCCACCTATTCCCAGTTGATGTATTATAGTTGACTTATTCTATTCGATGGAGTCATGGAGCTGATTGCCGATTATCAATGTCGGTTTCAACTGTTTGGATAAGACATCATGAGACACATGTTTTTTGTGTTTTAGGAAAAACAATTGGGGATTTCTGGTTGAGAAGGTAAATTTCTAACCTTTTGTTCCAAGAATGAAAACAGGTAAAATTTAATTTTGAGAACGCCCCCAGCAGGAAATTAGCGTTGGGATTTCAGCTCTACAATTCAAGAAAAATTTAATCAGATTTAACTGACTTCAACTCGCTTGATTGGCGCCTACGACTTTTTAGCAGGAAAAAGAGAAAAAAAATTACCTTTAAAAACAAATTAGCCTCAAACATCCTTTCATTTTGCTCTTCTTCCCTTCCTCAACCTTTGGCAATCAATTTTGCAATCAATCAAGTGTTGGGAACCATTCGTCTGATATGTGTTTAAAGTTCATTCTTTGTTTTGTTGCCCACTGAAAAAAAAATAATAAACTAAAACGTCTTCTTGACATTTAATTTTTATGATAGTTTTCTGTTGCCTCGACCCTTGAAGGACAACCAAGTTTTGAATTGCAACCTAAAGAAAGAGCAAGGGAAGAAGAATTTTGCAGACCTTGCAACCGAGATGTTTTCTTAACAATACCTTTAAAAAATCTGTGAACGATTATATTAAGTCCGTGATTGAGTAAATTAAGGATTACTGTCGCTTTTTTTCAAGTCGATCAAAAAGACCCCATATGTTATCTCATCTGTTTCGCAGCAATAATTTTTTTGTTCAAATTAGATTCTAGGTGCCTGATTGCTGTACAAGAAGCACAGACTGTTCCGACCGATAACTAGCAGCGCAGGCAGGGGCGGATCTTGTATTTAATTTATCTCAAAAAACCGGCTTAAAGTCAAGAAAAGCTTGTCTGACAGTTTTTGATTTTCAGAATATGTTTGACGATATTTGGTAGTATGACTACCTCCCATTTCAACTTCCCATTTGAGTTTTAACGCTATATTTACCAAGTTTTTAATTTACTGGTTTTTACAAATCTTTTCACTTATATCAATTTTTTTTCCTGAAAAAAAAACATTAATTTTAGACAATGAACTTTGCTAAAACTGAAAAAAATAGTTTTAACTTTTGTCCGAAATCAATTGGGTCGGAACATTCTGGGTTACTTGCACAACAATCGGCTAATGAGCAAAGTCGGATTTTTGGGTGCGTCCTGCAGATCAATGGGCAAAAATAATTATGATTATGATCATCATTGTTTCTTTTTCCCTTGTCGTTAAAATTGAAACAAGACTGCTCGTATCAGGACAAGGCACTGAATATTCCGACTGTCTCTTAAGGTCTATAAAGCAGTGTTTTTTTTAAAATGATGAATTTTTCGAGAAAAAAAAAGAAAAAAAATTACAAAATTTTGCGTTTTTTCTAAATCATCCCCACACGCCATATAAAGTCCACAGTGATAGAATTTGCTGAAATATTTTTTCAAATTAAAGCTCAGGACACTAATACTTTTTGGCTGATATAAAAAGTTTCTGTCAAAAATTCTTAGTTAAAAAGTCGAAATTTGTCTTCAGAAAAAAAACCATGCTGAGCACAAATAATCCGTCACTTTCGTTACGAAAGTCCGAACAAATCGCAATCAAAAATATCAATCTTAATAAGTAAAAAGAAAACCGAAACCACTGCACATGGTACTGAATGATGGCGCCACAAGGGTTGAATAAATTATCCCAAAAGATACTGAATTCAGTGAAATAATTCTAGAAAAATGTACCTTGCTAAAATAAAGTGTTATCAAATTAACGGATCAGTTTGATTGTCTAGCTTAAAATTTAGTATCAACAACGGAAAAAATCGGACTAACTTTTAGAACGTAGAAACTTTTTTTATTTTTTTTTTCATAACAATTTTGATAACAATTCATGCTAATGATCATAAAACTAATAACGATTACAATCATGAAGATAAAAATAATCAATTGTATAAGTAAAACCATTATAAGCATCATAATTTGTTTAACGTTAAAACAATTTTTTCTATAAGTTTTTCATTTTCCTTTTCAAAGTTTATAAAAATTGCTTTTAGGTTAATATGTCTTTTGCAAATCTTTTTCTTTCTTTCTTTTTGTTGCCTAACTGTGGTAAAATTTTACAATTGGAATACTGTTTTTGTTCGTAAAATGTGTGTATTTAGAAACAAAAGTAAAGGCTACAAAAATCAAAATGGTTACTAGAACAAAAGTTTTCGAAAAAAGCAAAAAAAAAACTTTACAACGAATTTAATAAGAAATAAGACTCGAACAATCATTAAAGAAAACTATTGAAATCCAACGATAGTACTCATATTGATCAAAACCATGATGCCGGCAACACTGATTGACAGAAAAATCAGAAATCAAGAAATCTAGTTGTAATTTTTTCCGAACTTTTTAAAATAGTTTTTTGTCCAAGGTCTTCTTTGTGTAACTTTTGAAAAAAGAAAACGAAATTGGCAGGGAAAAGCAAAAAATAATGGTATTAATTATCTTATAGAACTTTGAAATAGTAGTCGAAAAATTAATGCGAGCATAGTTTTTATTCTGATTCCGGTGAGCTTCGGCCTAATTTTGTCTGAAATAAAAAAAAACAGACCAGTTTTTCTCGATATTGACCTTTTCCTTCAATTTTTTATAGAATCCGAAAGACACATGAAACTTATTTAGTTTGATACTTTCAATATACCCCTTAGAATTTTTGTGGGTTTGTAAAAAAAAACAGAAGAAAAAAGCAGAAAATTGGTTTAAAAAAGAGAACCATAGTCTCTCATAGTTTCATAATTATTCTATTTAGTAACGAATTATCTGGAATAATTAGATTGCTTTAAAACTATTTAAAGTAGTTCAAATAACCGCAAAAAATATTCGTTAATAGAAACAAACTTGCATTTTTAGCTCAAACTTCAAACTCATTATTTAAACAATCCCCATTATGTAACAAAAAAGTCAGAGGCGAAGTATCCAAGTTCCGATAAATCTGAATATCTAAACTCCATTTAAAAAACAAATAATCGTAAGGTCGACACTTTTCTGAATAAAACAAGCCGGGTCGTTTTTTATATAAGTAGCACAAAAAGTTGCAATTATTCTGTTAAATTAGAAAAATATTAAAAGATTTCAAATCTTTTTAGTTCTTGATTTTTCTGGTTAGGAGAAAATTAATGAGGGGTAGGTTAAAATGTAATAATAGGATGTAAAATCGACCCAACAAGAAGAAGAGTCATTTTTGAAATATTTTTGAAGAACCGAACTCACCTAGAGAGAATCCAAATCTTTCCCTGGGCGTTTTCAGAGCTGAATTAATAAAAACTTATTTTAAAATTAATTGCAATGAAGTAACATTTACACAAACTTGGAATAACTTTTAAGACTATTCTGCTCAGTTCTTTGTTTTTTCTTCAGATGCGAGAGGGGCCTGGCTCCGAGAATAGGAGACCTCAGACAGCATTTAACAATCGGGACATTTCCACGCCTTTTTCCAGGACGCAGCCAAACACCAGGGCTCGCGAGTTCGGGAGCAGACTTAACACAGACATCGGTAGGACTTTTTTGTGTCCTAACTGTCTCTCAAGTTGCCCTTTTTGTTTTTAACAATTATCGTATATCGCTATTTGGCCCGGCCAGGTTTAATAACAGGGTTGAAAATTGGAATTTATATTTATTGGCAATTTCATTTAAACGTCAGTATCTACTTCATTCTTGTTCCGATCACCCAGAGTTGGAGTATGATGTAATTTTTGACGCAACACCAACGACCATAAATATACAACAAGGATCTAAGCTGGATGATTTATAACCATTTAGCACGATATCGGCCTTTCAAGAAAAAATTCAAACCAATTTTTCGGTTTTGTACTGAGTTTAGGTCCGGGGTGGCCTTCTCATATCGTGACGAACAGACGGTGTACCCTATCCGAAATTATTCCATCTAATTTTTGGCCGGATAGATTCGGGGAACTTCTTAGTCTAATACCGATCCTAATCTTACTCTTATATTTCCTAGTCTCAATAGATCTAGTATAGAATGGTTCTTGCGAGGTTATAAGTGAGAAAGTGCAACTGCTTTCTAAGCTAAATCTGGTGGAAAGTTCTTCTCTAAGTTCTCCCGCATTGCAGTTTCATGAATAAAAATCGATTATAATTGAGTTTCCTTGTCAGTGTCCACGAAAGTGAAAACAAATCGATTATAATTAATTAAAAATCGATTATAATATTAATGTTTTTCGAGGCAACAAAATCCTTTTTTCATCCATTATAATCGATTTATTTTCACTTTTGTGGACACTGACAATGAAACTAAATTTTAATCGATGATTTTTTTCAACCTAACTTTGATATTTTTGTTACTTTTTTATATTACTGAACATGACACCCTCCCCCTAGCGTTTGCCCATTTACAACAAACCCCCCCCCCCAACGTAACGTGTTCAGGTGGGGGGTGGGTTCAGGTGGGGGTTGTTCAGGTGGGGTAGTGGGTTCAGGTGGGGGGAATGGGTTCAGATGGGGGATGGGCTCAGGTGGGAGGGGGGTATGTGGATTTAGGTGGAGGGGGGGTATGTGGGTTCAGGTGGGGGGGAGGGTATGTGTGGTCAGGTGGGGTGGGGCTTGAGCAGGCGGGTGGTGTTCAGGTGGGGGGGTGTTCAGGCGGGGGGGTCAGTGAAGGGGGGAGCAAAGGGGCAAACGTTAGGGGGATTGAAGGGGTGCAAAGGGACAAAAGTTGGGGGGGGGGGGGGGAGAGCTCAACGGAATCTTTTTGCAATTTGAGTTTAGGTTTTGAAATGGATTAGGCCAGGCCGTACACTCGCTTCGCAAAGTTTTCGCATCACTCACTTGATAAATGCTGAAATTCTTGCAAAATTTTGCACGACGCGCGAAACAAAAATAAAGGGGAAAAAAATCAATTTTAATATGATTTCCTGCTTGTTATAAAATCATTATAATGGATTCAAAATGAATTATAATGAATTATGTTCTGGTGAAAAAAATGGATATAAATCAATTTTTAGTCCAATTTTGTTGTCTGAACGTAACATGGGAACCGATTATGTTTACAACATTATAGACCACGAAAATCCATCATAATCGATTTGTTTTCACCTTTCTTAAATGCGGGCGTCTCTGCTTGAAACTATGAATAGTTTCAGCTTTACAAATTATCATAAAATTTTACAAATGAATCATGATTCTAAAGATTTTACAGTGATAACTATCAAGGAACAGAATTGGAGATATAAAAAACTTGGTTTCTGTACAAACGGGCAAAAATTTTTTCTTTCCAGGCCAATTTTGATCAATTACAGGTGTCACTACGTAAGAAAATGCATTGTTTCAATTTTTGAAGAAGGTGACAGAAAACTTGTGCCAGGGCTGGTTTTTCTTAAGACAAATTTTGACTTTTTGAATAACAGCTTTTTTCGGAAACTTTCCCTTCAGTCTAAAATTGATCATTGAAAAAGTATACGGACCC